GTGATAAGATTTCGATCAGGATGGGGCCGGGGTGCAACTCCCAAAAGTAAGTAGCATCGGATTGCTTCAGAGTGTTTTGTGTCAATGTCCATGGTGGGGATGTGCGGTAGGTTTTCACTGCTCCGATCTCTATATACCATCCCATTCTGCCGGTCGTTTGTGCATGCACAACCCGAACCGCGTGGTTTCAAAGCATGCCTTTATATAATTCAACGACCTCATCTGGAGGGCGGGGCTCCGCAGGGAAAGTGGAACGTACACTGAAATTGACGGAACAACCAAACTCATCCTTACTTGTGCATGATGAAGTCAGTGGCATCCCATGGCCTACTAGGTACTACCTTTCCTGAGATATGCATGAGTTAAGTCACTGTACTGGACATAACTGGACGATCGTCAGCCTTTGGCGGACGAAAAATGGAGGGCTCCTACCTAGTTGCAGCATCACCCGTGACCTAACTTGTCCAAGAAACACTTTCTGCAGAGGTATTTGGACGCTTGGTTCATCCAGCCCAGCTCTACGAGGGTTCCCCGTTCCAAAAATTGGCTGTCGCTAGGACTGGGGGTGACATGAACAAGACCTCGGCCGCGCGTGCCGGAGCCATTCCAACCATCATTACAGCGCGGACCCCGAGTCTAGAGTTGGTGGGGTCGGGCTTCAATATTTGGATTGCCTTTCTCATTGTTTCCATGCTGCGAAGCTTGTAGCAGTGGCTCTTTCTTCCTTGCCTTTGCTTGCTTTTTCTGCCTGCTTCTTCTTCCGCTTGCGAAGCAGACGAAACATCCGTCTCCGCTTCCTTGCCTTGTGCGAAACCACGGGTGGAGTTTGGGAGTCGGTCGGAGCTTGGTGTAACCGAGCCAGGCCCCCTATTTCTTTGCCTCGAGCTGAACCGGGCCCATCGGCCTATGAAAAAGTTTGGCATCGGCGATTGAATCGTGGCAGAGACCATGTTGACACATAGCTTCTGCTGCCAGCCTGGCGAATGAATGCAGGCAGAGAATGAATGCCCCGCGAATTGAGTTACATATGTCACATGTTGTCCGGCGGGGCCACGGGGCCGCCCCTGAAATCAACGCCGTTCGATCTGGGTGGTTCATACCGACCGTTTGAGCCATCGCTCCCTTCAGTATTGGTGCATTCATATCGACGTGTGATGTAAGGTAATGGTATGTCATGGCATGCCGTGGTATGTAATGGTATGTGGTGTAATGTAATGTAATGACATGTATGATGTTATGTTATGTATTGTTATGTCATGCATATATTATACAATATTACATATACAATCATTTACATATGTATATTATATATACATCACACACACACATATATATATATATACACATGCTTATATCAATCATATCATCAAAACCATGGTGTTTCATTCTTGTTCATGGATGTTTCTCCGCTCCAAGGCCATGCAGCGCTTCAAAAACAACGTGTCGATCCAAGAGGAGGTTGGACCGGGTCGCAGTGGGTGGCTCATCTCAACTGGGCCCATCCTACACTCCCGAGCCGATTTCACCCGATTTCAGTGGGGATGATCGTTTGTTGACGGTCGTTTTCTGGCGAGTTGCACGCTCCCGTAAGGAAGACCATTTTCCGCATACTGAACAGGGAGTGAACTCCACTTGCATGTTAATTCCAGGGAGAGTAGATCTTGGACATGTCGTGTGGCGCCAGTCAATGAAAGCATTTCATTCTCATGATCACTCGCTGCCGAATCAATCGCCGTGGTGTTTTTTGCCACGATCACCACGTGGAGGCGATCATTTGCCTCACGAGCCTTTGCGACACTTTGGGTCGAGCCTCAGTGGCTGCCCGCCTAGGCCGATGGGCGGCTGACATGTGAGACTGCTGCTTAAGAGATCTTTTGGATTCTTTTGTATTATAATTATGAGAGCAAGTTTAAACTAGAGAGTTCAGACGTTTTGGAATCATTTTGAGTACCTATTATTATGTTTAAACAAAATCAACGTAAATGCAGTTGGGGGTCCGCTTTTTTCACTCTTTTCCTCCTCATGTTTTCTTCTTGTCGTCCTCCTCTTGTTCTCTTCTTGTCCTCCTGTTGTCCTCTTGCCGTCCTTCTGCTAAGTGGCCCGGCTGCTAGCCTGTCTCCAGTCATTGTCCTTTTGTTGTATTTTTGTTTGTCCTCTCCTTGCCCTCTTCTTGTCCTCCTGTTGTCCTTTTGTTGACACCAGCTTGGCCGCGGCTGCCAGCCAGTCTCCAGACCTTGTCCTCCTGTTGTCCGCTTTTTGTCCTTTGTTTTTTCCTCCTTTTGTTCTCTTCTTCTCTTGTTGTCCTCCTGTTGTCCCCTTCTTGTCCTTGTGCTGCTGGTGTCCAGATGACAGCATGGCAGCATGCCATCCGTGACACCAATCAAAGGCGTGCGCGTGCGAAGCACCAATCAAAGGGCAAAATGCGAGAAAGCACTTGCACACGCGCAAGCCTTGCCACCTGGTGAGACTAGTGGAAAAGCGCCAGCCGGCAAGCGCTAAGATCACAGTACCGCAGCATGGCCACGTGACAGCCTCTCAGCATGCAAACATGACAACCTGCAAGCACGCACTACAAAGCAGTAAGGCATAGTGAGGCACTAGCAAGACAACCACCAGGTTCCCGCCCTTCCATTTTGCTGACCCCAAAAATGATTCAAGCGGTGGGGCCCGTGTTGTATAATATAGGACAATGGTGGACAACTGTGGACAAGTCTATTTTTGGAACGAAGAAATTCGTTTGCAGGGCTCAGGGCTTGAGAGCCCCATCAGCTTGGAGCTACATGTTTCAGCTTGAAGGCATTGCAACATTGCAGATGCGTGGTTCCATATTCTGATTCAACAGTTTTCAACGTGTATACTCAATATGGATCTCTTGGTACGAGTACTTTTGGACCAACGTAGACCCCCACGGTGCAGGGATATGTTCGCTTTCGACTCGGGAGGCTTGGTGGATTTGATCCTCACAGCGGTCAAAAGCCGGCTTCCCATGTCGAACGCGAGGGGATGAAGCGGGGAGTGATGTGGAATTTTGTGGCATGTGGGTTGAAGCATTTGGCACAGCTGCGCCTCCAAGGGAAAACATCACTGAGCTCATGGGAAATGATCAGTGGTGTGACAACCTTGCCCCTATGGCCAATGGCTCACCATGGCTCACCTGCTCGCCCAGGCCAAGGCTACGGAGAGATGCCTGGCCGACTTACGGAACGAAGCTGCATGATCCTTTGCATGTGCCCTGGCCGCAGCCAGGGAGAGTCAAACAATTTGATCTGTTTTGAGCGAGTGGGCGGGGGGGCAACATTACAGAAAATTGATCAATCAGCATGAGTCAATAGGATGATCGAAGAAGGTATGGACAATTGAACAATATTGACAATTGAACACATCAAGTATGCAGTTTTCATGAAATTGGTTTGTCATGCATGGTTTGTCTAAAACGAACCTGCGTTGTTCATCAAAGCGGTTCGGCAGTTGAGGGAACTTGGGGTATTAGACCCAAAGACGTGCTGTCTACCATTCTGCCCAAAAATTGAATGTTCAACACTCCCGTGCATGTGCGTGTGCGCACCCACGAAAGAAGTGGCCACATGAGCTGGACCAGTGTTCTGAGATAAGCTATAGCTAGTTACTAGTTACGATTTCATATAAATCCTGGCGATTCCCCCTGCCTGTTGTAGGTTTGCAGACGATCAGAAGCTGCGGCATGATATTGTGAAAGCTGGCGCATTGGCCATGGCGAAGCAGGCAGGCATCGATTCACGAGCATTTCTGGGCCAGAGTGGGGAGAACGGTCTGAAACACTATATAACCTATATGATTTACAGAGATAGGCCCAACTCGTAGATTCTTGGGGTCCTGCTGTTTCCCATCACCACGCATCACCAGGTTTCCCATGACTTCCCATCCAAAGCTTTGACCTTGACGCCTTGTTTCACGCCCATGGCCGATGCCCGCAGTCAGACCCTGTCCGTTGCCTTGGTGTGTGGGACCACCGCGACCGTATCGGAGGAGATCGGGGAATCGGCCAGGACAAATCCACGACGTTCGCCTCAGGTGATCAGCCGCGCCAAGAATCTGGACGTGCAACGCTGGGGCTGCGAACTCTTGCGCAGCCTTTCGCAAGCCAACTAAGTTAGGCCACGAGGGACGCCAGGACAGAGGGATCGATGAAGCCACAATCTTGGGCGAAGTGGAGCAAAGATGGGCAAGTGATGGCTTTAGTATGTGCGTAGTGGCCGACATTTCCTGGCACATGCATATTGAAATGGCGAGGGATGTTTAGGGGCAAGTGTTTACCTAGCCATAGCATATAATATATACATGCATGAAAGCATTTTTCCGGCCTGGCTCAACAGCGTGGGACACTTCGCTTACTGTGCTTCGGCGTGAAAGCAGCGTTAGTTTCACCTGGTTGCGCAAAGATGTCTCACCAGGCTCACGTGCAAGTGGCGCGGGGCATGGAGAAAGGTTTCTTGAAGCTTGTCGGGGAACGCAAGCAGGGCCCAACGACATGCATGGATCCATGTTCCCCGACGGGTCCGAAGCTAGTCTTCCAATGTTCGGTTGCACAAGATTTGGATGTGTTATTCCGCAATTATATAGTGCTTTTATTCTTACTCGATTTGTGTATATATTTGTCTAGTTTTCCCTTTATTAATCCTTTTTAGAGCAGCAGATCGCACAGAACATCGAAATCTTTGGACACCGAAGCGGTATCGAACTCTTGGGAGAGACGAGCAGAGACCATGTCCCGAAACCCACCAGCCAAGTTTTGCACATTCCAACGGTTGTTGGCCACAATGATGGTGTTTTCACTCCCTTGTGACACCACGCAAAGGTCAATTTGTCTAGCAAGGTCTAGCGGAGAACCTTATAGAGTTCAATTGCAAACTTCAACTCTCAACTATTGAGCATGGGAGACCCAAGTCGTGAACTGATTTTAACCGTCGAGCGAAGGGACTCGTTTCTTTTTTTCTGTGGAAACACCATGGTTTGACTGAACAAACTGGGCTCAAGCTGGTTGTCACCAGCTGTGTCTCGCTGTTTAGCTGGTCTTCTCTGAGGAAATTCTCAGTTTCCATGTATCTTGGCGGAGCTCAGCTGTTCGGCATTGAATGACCGACCCATCATGAATCTCTTGGAAGCATCCCTGCATTTTATTGCGTTATTCATGCACACACACACAAATCTGCTTCTGTACTGCAGGATCTATAAACTGTAGACATGACAGGGTTTTCTTCGATTCAGTGGCCTTCAGGTGATGTTTCTGGCCTTTGTGATCTTAGCAACGGCAGAGGTGGGCCCGGGGGGGCAGGTTCTTCGGGACTTGCTACGTTCGTTTTTCGGACATGGGTCCCTGGGTCTCGCTATGCTCTGAGGGCACGAGGGGGATGACTTGGAGGTATGGATGACTTGGACTCACCACTAGTCCTCCAATCCTGCTGTCAGGACTACACATGTCCACAGACGGAAGGAACAGGCGAACACATGATGTCTTCTTCGCCTCATTGGCTTTTCTCCTTTGAGCATGAGAAGGCCGACTTTTGCCAGAGAAGTAGCGAACATCACCACAGCGGTGGACGAACAAGTCACCCTCCAACCCTCCAGGGCATCAGGATGTTCCAAGATAACATGTTTTGTTATATATATATATAGATATATTATATTGTGCAGTTGTTTTTCCTAGAAATGCTGCGCCATGCCAGCTGCAAGTGTGGAGCCTTTCTTGTTGGCTGTTTTATTGGTTCTCTACCTATTTCTGTTCTACGCCATTGCCACAAGTCTTTCCTCCATTCTCCTCCAATGGTGTCGGCGACCCGTGTCGGAAGATTTTGATAACTCATCCTGGTTGTTCAGACGGCGTACCTATGTGTACCTCAACACGGTAGCAACCGAGAAACACATCAAGGGAGTTTGCCCAGTGTGCCCCAAAAGAGGAGGTTGGAAGATTTTAGTCCACCGGCTCTGCAACACATCACTTTGGATGGATCAAGTTGATGCTCCTTCTCCTCACCCTTCCAACATGTTCATCTCTTCCATCCTCAGGCAGAGCCGCCATGGTTGGGGCGCTTTCGGAAGGAGTCCACTCTCCCCTCCGCTGGGTCTCTCGCCGTGCCTAGCGAGACAGGCGCATGGGGTTGGGTCAACGGACGGCTGGCAGGTACATGTCTTGCACCAATCATCCACTTGCAAACGATTGGGGTTTGTCACCGCCCAAAGTGTGCTGGCCTCTTTTTGTTTCCAAGAATTGCGTTTTCCATCTAAAAAGTGGAGAGAAACCGTTTAAGTTTAGCTGCCTTTCGTGGCTTGGGAAACTGAAACAGAAGAATTTTGCACGGAACGAGTCCTGCAATATGATACATTGACGAGTCCGGTCCCCGAGCTGCCAGGGTTGGACCTGGCAGAACTTGTTCAGAAGGAGAGTGCACGACTCAGAGAGTTTCTTCCAATGGAGAGGCTTGAGATCCCGGCATGTTGAGGTTCCCAAGAGTTTATGTTCGCATGTTCTGTTTCACCACTCACGGCTTTTACATGGTTTTACTATAATTTTGCTTGACCTCTTCCATGGGCAACATTAATCTAAAGCTCTTCTAAAGCTTTAGAGTTGAGCATGTCAGTGAATATTGAACGCTGAGAGCTGACAGCATTAATCTTGAGCCTTAGCAGGTTCCTGATGTGTTGCTGCTTCTCCAACATTCTTTTGAACGCAATTGACACCTGTGAGAGCAGCCAGAAAACCAGACTTCTCATGTGTGGTTTCCTGCCATGATTCCCGTGCTTGAGGCGACCTTTGGCAGCTCCCAGAGCTCCCAGAGGTGCAGAAGCGATTGGACTTCGATGGTGCTCAACTGAACACCTGCAATCTGGAAGAGGTGCGGGCCCACCCCTGCAGCAGAGGTACCAGGGGTCAGGTGAGGTCGTTGTGAGTTTTCACGCGCTGTTGGGATGGATCAATCGACATGGCTTTGACAGACTTACTGAATTCTGGACGGCGGGGCCTTCTTGGAGCTGGGTCCGTGCAGTTGATCCGCAGACTGGCAGGATCACCTGATCAATCAAGGACACCAGGTCGTGTGTGTGTGTGTGTCAAAACGTGCCAGCTATGTGCCATTACCTTATTCTAGATGCTAGATAGTTTATAGGCAACGTTAGGCAACTACACCAACAAACCAAATCTATGACATTTGTATACCACCGGGTGGCCCATTACCCAGATACTGATACTCCATCTATGGACTATACATGCCAACATTGGATAGATTCCATACGTGGAGTGTTAGGGTTAGAGAATGATCAAGCAGGCTTGAGGGTGGGCATCATCAACCACCTCACGTCCAAACCGTTTGCCACGGTATTTTGCTCCTAACGGCCCTAACGACCCTAACGGCGTTTTAGAGTCTTTCCCAGGCTGACGCGTTCTGGGAGACGCACCCCTTCCGGAAGACCACGAAGACGCGGCAACAGATTCAGGCGGTCCGACCATCTCTGAGGAGTTTGGTTGTGACATTCCTAGTCACTTGGGTGATGTTTGCATATTTTTGCTGCTTTTAGGTGTGCCGTTGGTTGGTGCACTTTGTTGGGAATTGTGTGATTGCTGAACAATTTTGGGCAGTTTTAAGTGTTGCTTTCTTTTGTTTGGTTAAGTTTGTTGCAACTCACAGCTGGGCCTATGGGCCAGTGTCAGCAAGTGTCGAGCCTTGTTCGGCCCAAAGATTGCAACGCGACAAGATCCTCAGAAACCCGGGTTCAGTTCGTGAAGATTCAACTGGCGATGTGACGATGACTATTCCCGACCAGAACATGCTAGAACCAAGACATGCATGCATCAACCAGAGATTTCATCAATTGCCAATGGGATCATCAATTGCCAATGGGACACATCATTTAAAACTACCCACAGGTAGTTGGGAAGCACCCCTTCAGGTCGAAGCTCCCAAACGAATCCTGGTCGCTTTTTGGAGCAACACCGGACCCTTCGCCTTCCTCGAGGGCCATAGACGGGTAGGGCTTCGGAGTCACCCTCTTGGAGGTCTGGTTGGGGAGGAGTCGTCTGGTCGGGGAGGAGACGTCACCCAGGTAGTCGTCAGGAAAAAAGAAGAAGCCCAAACCACCTGAGGTTTTGGTGTTTGGACACTTTGGGGGAGAGTTGCCATGTGGAAAGTTCCATGCGTGTGGTTAGCCACTTCAGTTCTAAATAGTGGGCACTGGAGCGGATGACTCAGACGTCAGAACTGAAGATGAGCATACTTTCAAGATCTTTCAAGATCCCTTCAAAGACAGGAACCACACATTGTGTACATTGTAGTTTGCCCTTCGAAGGCGCAAATTTACAAAACTCATGTCATCTCATGTCTTCGCAAACTTTTTGTACACACGGGTCCCTACCTCAACAAGACCTTACCTCATCAACAGCCTAATTACATGTCCAGCATTCCATCATATTCCATCAACCGTCGATCTCAGTCACTTGTGCAGTGCCCCTGTCCATGCCTTTGGCCGTTCTTCTTCCAACGCGACGGGTCGAAACATGCTCTTCCAGGCCATGCGGGCGATCAAGGAGTTCAAGCGGCTGCTGCCCCACTTGCCCTTGATCCTGGCGCGGTCCGGTCGACCGTTTGGACGGAGCCGAGAAGCTGGCAGAACTGGCCACCAGTGAAAAGGAAAGGGGAACCGGTGGAAACGGAGGCCTGCCTAGGAGGACCGAAGCCGGAGAAGATATGGCAGCCGGCACTTATAGAGTGGAGGGAGGTGGTTGAAATCCAACATGGATTCAGATTGACACACCTAGTTACTAGTTCCCTATATCCTTATATGTTTCTACAATTGGATGGTGCTTGTGCCTACCAGTGCCACCCTTTTGCCCAGCTTTTGCGAGGGGTGGTTTGCTTTTTGTATATTTCCGTAACCTCCAGAAATGATGAAACCAGGGCTGTTCTGTCATTTCCCTATAGGGCCTCACGTATTTCAGAAGATCCAGAAGGTCTGAAAAGACACCAAAAACACACACACACACACCAGTGATCTCCCCACCAAACGTCGGCTAGTTGGAGCCCGGGTCCACTGTCACCGGTTTCTTCACCGCAGGTGGGCGACTCGCTACTGGGCTGGAGGCAACAGTGGTTTGGATGTTCTCCAAATCACCGGGGTGGTTTGATGTGGTTTGGATGGTCTCATTTCTCTTCCGTGCGCGAATGCAGTTCAGCTCAAACAGAGGTTGAGTTCGGAGATGAGCATGGGGGAGAGATGGAAGCCAGCTGCTCCAATCTATCACATTGCACCGACTTGGGGAGAAACATTTGTGATTTGGCTTTCAAAAATTCTAAAGGACAGATCAAGGGATATAACAATTACATGAAGTTACTGTACATGTCATTATTGCAACTTATTCAATTTCTCCAAACACTTACCCAAACATACTGTATCTACTTAAGTGACCCCTCTTCTCTCACACCACTTTCCAGGCGTGGTTGCTTCCTCTCTCCTCGCGCCAATCGTCCGGTGGAAGTGGCGACCTTTGGAAGTTGGGTGGACGACTACGGCCTGGACAATTTGGAGGAGGCCGGTGGCTGTGGGTCAAGAACCCCATTGCACCCTGGTACTCCTCAGCAGTCTCTGCGGATTTTCTGTGGCTAACAAAGGGCCAGCGTTTGCGAGGGAGCGACTGACGGCCGCCGGGGGGGATCCATTGTAAGCAGGGAGCCGTTCGGAGCTACAAGGAGCCCCCCTTGCTAGCCAGGGCCATTTTTTTGTCGCATGTGGTGGGTTTTTTTGACCTGAAGCCGATCTGTTTAGGTCTTAACGCTGTGGAGTTTGGTGTGGTGGGTGAAGCTGCGCGGCGGACCAGGGTCCCCTCTAGACTTGTTTCGAATTCATTTAATATTTGCTTTGTACTTTATAGGTCACGATTGCGAATTCATTCGCATTCATTCGCCCAAAGTCGAGCTTTGATGTGCCTTGCTGCTGAATTTACGGCAGCAATTTGGGTTGGCTAAGTCGGATCCAAAAGAAACATCCCCGGGCCAAAGGCAGTCTTTGCTCCCAGGCCTTGCAGGCTGAGGGCCATCAACTGGACCAGTCTGAATGCTTGCAGGGTCCGCTGATGGCTGGCTGTAGGCGGGACGGGTGGCTGTACGCGCACGGTGTCCTGGGACTTGGATGTGGCGGAGTCGGTGGATTGAAAGAGAGAAAGATGAGGTTGGTTGCTTCAAGGGTAAGGAGCCAGAGCTCCCAGGAGCAGAGCTGGAGAGAAGGAGCCTATAAATATCTATGAATGCAAGGGAGAAGATAGGGTAGGTGTATGCCGTGTATGCTTTCACAGGCTTGTGAAGAGAAGGCAGGCACGCAGGCCGAACAATAACTCAACAAAACCACTCTAAGTATCTCTAAGTATTATATATATATATACTTATATATAGTTGAGCGCCCGGCGTAGATCTTTCTCTTGTACGTGTTGGTCTTCGGAGGGATCTCCGCAAGAGATCAACAACCAGCTTGCATAGTCGATAGTGTTCAACTTTTGGGCTTGATTGAACCTGGTTTTGTCACAACAAACGCAAAGACAGATCATCTTGAATATCACATGAAACCAATTAGGGCAGTAAAGAAGATCATATGACGACAGTTCTGACGACCTATGAGCCAGCAGGTCAGCGTTTGGTTTTCCAGGTCTTTGGTTCTCAGTCGTTGCTCTTCCCTCCGCTCTCTCCAGGCTCCGTGCAAAGCTGAAGGATTCCTCGAGTGGCGCCACTGCCACCATCCGCCTGGGCATGTTGCTGTCGCCGCCACCGGCTGCTCAGCTGCAGCGGGGTGCGGGGCCGGACAGCGGCTTCCACTCGGTCCACCAGCCGACCAGGTGAAGGCTGGTGGCCGTTGGTTGCTGCTCTCAGGAAAGTCAAGTGTGCAGTGTTTTCCATGTTGGTATCATGTCCTTGGTGTTTTTTGGTTGCAGTGCTCACATACTGTGATTCCACAAAGATGAGGATAGAAAATACAGTAGCAGAGAGAGAGAGAGAGGTCCCTGTACCAAAATGTAGCAAAAAAGAAGTGGGGCTTTGTGCTGATGTAGGCATGGCAAGGTTCTGAAGGCAAAAAGCACCAGGCGAGGTCCTTTGCATATAACTCAAAGTTGTTCACGCAAGAACAAGGCCCGATTTTGCACTTTTGACATGGTTTGTGGCAGGTGGGGGGTGGGGGGGGACCTGCCACTGGTCAGAGACTACTTTGGAGTACCAGCTGTATTGCAAACATGTGTTCTTGATGGAGTGCTCTATTCGCACCTTAGGCGCCCAAACATTCCGTTGGGGGGCACCATTTATATATGGCGAATTTATGGTGTCACGTTTGCACTTCACCGCGTCCTTCTTTGCGCCGTTCGCGCGTTCGTCCCTTTCGCGCAGTCTTCGTCCCAGGTGGCCCAACATCCAGGACTCTTTCCTCGTTGCCTCGCGGCGTGCGGCGACAGCTGTGAGCGCTGTGTTCTGGCGTGGGCGGTGGAGGCTGGATTCCGTCTTCGGTGGAGGACTGACTTCCCGTCCCAAGGGCTCACAAGAACCGAAGCTCTGGTCGGGCATGTGGATCCATGATATAGAAGGTTCTTGTTGAAGGTGTGCACTGGTTACAAGTGTTTTTGCATGTGTTTAGGTGGCAAGGCAATATCCAAGCTTCAGATGTTCGACCATTAACAATCCACAGCTGGTGCATTAAATGTATACAGCTGGTGCACCAACCGGTGTCATCTTTGCTTAGTATGGAGGACCATGTGCACAAACAGGTCCAAAACGCCTGGACCCGGTCAGAAGCACCGGCTCTTTGGATCTACAGCATTTATGCTCGAGGTGTTTTTCGGGCCGCATGCAGATGAGTCTCATTCCGGAAAGTCGTGGACACATGCAGGAAGCGACCAACAGACAGAGTGAGTAGGAGCATGTAGGAACATTGGACCGCACAGAGAGGGTACAATTAATGCTGCGCATCTCAGAAACTGGTGGCCGCCATACCTCCTTGAAACATCCACTTGCCATGATGGCTCCTTTGAGCATTTCCATGCCCAAGAAGCCTCAGCTCTTGAACGAAACTTCTTTGGCTGAGTTGCCAAGCCCCATGACGCTCGCATGTTATGACGGCTTTTAGGCGGTCATGTGCGGTCTTGGGTGGGGAATATATGTGACTGCCTTCATTCCCAGATGCTGGGATAGGATTGTTAAGTATTGTTAAGGCTGCTAAGATTGCTAAGGATTTGTTCCCAATGGGCTCGTGCAGAGGTGCACCGCAACCAATTTGATCAATGGTTCTTCTCGCTTTGGAGATTTTTCCCTAAAGGACCTCGCCGAATCCAATTCGAACCTTGGTCACCTGGTCCATTGGACTGGATCCAAAACGACGGGCCGTATGCCAGACTGAGGAAGCCCGAAGTGGAGATTCTGGATGATATGCCCGGCTGGCATGAGGAAGCGCAGCCTATCTCATTTCGGTCCGAAAACGGTGGCAGCCGAAAGTGCCCATGCTTCAATGCTCATGAAGTCCTCGGACATTGCTGTTTACAATTGGCTTATTTGATTCTGCGCTCGCCGCTTCGGAGACCACTGAAGTTCAGAGAGACACGCATGCAATTTGTGGGGTGGTGCAGTGAGCGCCAGGCAAACAGCCCTATAGACACCTTAGTTCATTTCGGATCCTCACGCTGAGCGCATGTTGCACCATCTCCTCGGCACACGCCTGCCGAGTTCAACCTTTTCTTGATAAAGGATGCCCTAATTATGGATCCATATCCTCAGGATCCCTCAGGAGGGTCTAGTGTCCAGTGCGACTGTACCTTCTGAGAGTGTACTGTATATGGACCCATAGGAAACGGTCATTGGAGCATTCTTCGCAACTGTGCTTCTCGAAGTGGAACTGAGGTGCTCTCAAGCCCCGACGAGCCAAGCGGCTTCAGGCTCGGCACAGCCGATTGATGGCCTTCATGAGAAAGTACCACTTTACGGATGTGGCATCTCCAGGCGCGGTGAAGGAAGGGATGAGATTGGGTCATACACAGTGATTTCAGAGTAGATGGCACAAGCCCCTATATGTGATTTAGATGGGGGTCCTTGTAAACCACCTTTTGGGGATTGTGCCATCTACTCTGAAACCATTGTAATATATATGTATATAATATGAAGTCCTGGAATTTCTCCTCTCATTTCTTCCTGAAGAACCAAAGCCACGGCCAGCCATGGGGCCCTAGTGAAGATTGGCGGAGGTCTCGGGAACCTTTGGGCGAAACTAGCTCAACCTCCAGCCCCCACTGAGCCTCGTTTCTCAGAAAAGACACGACCTTTGACATCCACTGGCCAAATCCCAGTATATAATTACACTTTTGGTGCAGATGCTTTCGTTCACCGCTTCCACCCTTCACCGATATGGATGCCTCGCAGCTCTTGCGAGGCCTCACCGACGCCTATCCCATCCACTTTGCCGCGAGCTTAGGCGCTCGGTTACCGGTGGATCTCCGGCTTTAAATGATCAAAAAGGGTGCACTTTCTGACATTCGCCAGAAACCATATCCAAAGCCTTAGTGAGGCAAGTGAGGGTATATAGAGTATACATATAGAGATATATGATGTATAGAGTATCTCAGAATCTTGAATGAACACTGATTGTGATTTGCTAAATTTAGACTTCTTGACACTACCACGCACACTTGTTCACATCCCCGAAGATGCGAACCCGATGTTGACTCCAAATCAGATGGTCGAAACGAGGTGTCTTGTACCTTAGGGAAGATGGACTTCCCATAGATCGAACAACACGCCTCCCCCAACATAGTGCACACCTGGAAGGAGGAGTTGTAGGTCGGTCCTGATTGGTCCCGATTCCACTTTGGAGTCTCTCAAGGTCCTGGCCCTTCCTGCGCTGCGTGCGCAGGAGATGCTCGAGTGCTGCGTGCGCTGATGATGGCCGGCGCCGATCCGGAACAGCCACTTGCAGCTGGGTAGTTTTGGACAACGTCGCATGACGTGCCATACCCTGGACTGCAATACGTATGGTCTTATGTTCGATTATGTTCCCGAAAATGTTCTTCTTCTAGTTACTGTCCTATAATCAATGTGCTGTATGGGATGTTTTTTCGAAGCAGACACTCCAAAACATTCCTGGAAAGAGCAGCAGTTGGCCCAAAACTCCTTAGTTGTGGGCCTCACTCAAGTACAAAATCAGGGTGGGAGGTTCCGGCGCTGCACCCTTTGCCGATCCCATCCGCTTTTTCGTTGACCCCGTGGGCTCCCTTCACCTCTCTTTCATTGACTGAGTCACGGTGAAACCGGCCTCGCGGCCGTCCCTCCCTCCTCGTCCCTCCCTCCTCGCTGCTCAGGAAGACGACCAAAGGCTATACGCCTTTGGACTACGCTCGTGAAGCGGAAGTCGACGGATCTCACGACATGGCGCCTCGAGCATCGGCGCGAACTCGTCCGAGTCGGGCATCGCTTGGACATCGGGCTGAGACACGAAAGAGGCTCATGGTGGTACGAGATCAATATATCACGTTTCATGGCTTGTTCATGTGTTTTGTGTTTGTTTGGAGGTTTGTTTGGAGGTCTGTGAAAGTTCAACATGTCATGTGTACCACTGACCCCCCCCAAATGGGCCTTTCGACTTTCGACAGCATTACCGAGGGAGCACATTCTTTAGCATTAGCTGAGTGAAGGGTTTCTTTCTGGGATGAAGAAACCCTAGAATCCTAGAAGTCCAAAGACGGCACCACCAAAGCAAAGGACATTCCTTTCGGATCACCCAAAGACCATTCATTGAATAGTCTTGGACTTCCAGGGGGGAACTTCAGACTTTTGCTGTTCAGCCATGTTCAGCCCATCCTGGGCTCGAGCTCCTTCGAGCGCCAAAGCTGTTGAATAGTAACAAAGAAGATATTAGAAGACTTGGCTGTGAATCCGTTGAGATCCGTTGAGCTCCAAAAGGTTGCTTCTATATAGTTTCCAAGGAATGGGTTGAACATGGTTGAACACCCAGCACTCTTTTAGAAACTCGTGGTGGGCGATTTTAGGCCTCGTTCTTGGATTCACCATGATTCACCTATTAGGCATCCAAGCATGACCTCTTCTGCGACAGCACGAACACGGCTAGGTGATCGATCTTCTGGAAAACAAGGTCAAGATAGTGACAATGCGTGGCTTCTGCGACATGGTGGCTGGAACCCGAGAAGTCCTTTTCGGCGACATCGTCCGCCAAGTGACCTCGGACTCAGCCATAGACTCCAACGAGTCTATCATCGAAAGCAAGTAGCTGCTTTCTGCCAAGGGGCCGTAATTGTTCCGCAAAGATGCCACTGAGCCAAAGGATCATGGCCAATCTTTGCAAGCGTTGAACATGTATCACATGATCACACGGTTTCAGCTCGAACGACGAAGATGTTCTTGCCTAAGCGGTTGCTTTTTTGTTGCAACAGGGTGCTTGAAGGCCCCAGATGCGGTACTGCGTGTTGTGCCCAGGGCAGGCAAATAGGTGTTCTTCGGTGCCTTTCGCTGGGGGGTTCCTTCCCCCAGCAGAGATCATTGGAGTTCTTGTTCTCGGCGCAGAAAAAGACCCAGATTTCGCAGACAGTTGCGAAAATCATTCCTAGTTTTAGTAAATGCCACAAAGACTTGGCTAGCTCCGGCCCACTCAACAGGTTGAGCAATGTTAGAAATCAGAGAAACCCAAACAGTCTGAATTCAGTGTCCTTGTCATTTCCCTTCCTATTTGTATGGTTTTATGCTTTGTTTGCACAATTCCTGGGCCAATACCGCCTTCCTTGATATATTTTTTTGGGGTCAGACGAGGCCATCCGAGAAAAACACATCGTCCCCTAAGTATGGAGCAAGGGCCAGATTTCATCGTAGAGTACTGGGTGCCACCCCCAGAGTCCACTGCTGACAGGGATCCACATCAACTAAGCGGACGCTAAATCCTGCGGATGTGATCTAGATATTATCCGATGCTTAGAAAGCGAACCGTGCGAAAGTGGGAGCACGATAGCAAGGGCACAAGAATGCAAAAAAAGAGGACAAATAAGAGTAAAGAACGTGCACCAAGTTGCGTACTGTACATAGTCTCAACTTGGTTTGTTTTCGCACTAGATTACTGTACTTCTCTCAGAGGATTTTCCAGGACTAGGGCTGCAGTCATTGGGGCGTTTGGGGGTTTGATCTTTTGAGCTTCCCAAAAGTCCAGACTCCAAGTAGATCCAACTAGCAGTCATGGTGCCAGATTCGCCACCTTAGGGGTTGTGGAAACCAAAAGCCACTCTTCGAGCGGTATGTGGTGGTGAAGCCTCACTCCAGCACTCCATCTCACTCCCATCACAACATATCAGTTACCAGAAGATGAAGATGAGTCAAAAAGGTCTTGTATCCTATAGTATCCTGATGTAGCTAGAATCAAGCCCATCAGCTCATCTTCCATGGGCCTCCAACATATGAGAACATGGTCTCGCTAGCCTCCAAAACCCACCCATGGTCGGACCCCG